GTTTTTACATATACAATTTTTATTGTCAACCTTCAAAGGTAGCATTTTGATTGTAGAAAAAGTTATAAAGCTCTTTAGTTTTCACTGTTTTGTAATTATCAGTGCCATTTTGATTTAAACCCCCTTTTAGTTTATTTATATTCATTTCTTATTTCCAGAAAATATTTAAGGTTGAATCCTCCAAGTGGTTATAATGCATAGAGGAAAACAAATCTCTGGACTCATATAGTTATATTTTGTTTAAATGGGACTTTTGCTTTGTCAATAATAGGTAAATTTTAACACCTTGGAGAACGTTCTTGTAAAGATTTCTATTGTACCATAAAGAAACCTTTAGAAAGTGAAGAGTAATTCCTCCTTTGTATAATCTTGTTTATAAGTATGTATGTTTCAGAAGGCTTCCCTGGTGCAAAGCAGGAAACGTAGTTCGATCCCTGGGTCGGGAAGATGCCCTGTAGGAGGGCATGGCAACCCACTCCGGTACTCTTGCCTGGAGAATCCCATGGAGGGAGGAGCCTGGCGGGCTACAGTCCATGGGGTCTCCAAGAGTGGGACCCAGCTTAGTGACTAAGCAATAGCAACTATTTTTCAAAAACATGTTCTACTACCTTGTACCCTCTTTGAACGCTGATTTTTTTTATCTTATTGCTCAACATTACGTTATATTCTAATATTGTCTCCATAGCTCACATTGTGACTTCAAACAGCATGAAAGTAAGAGACAGTAATACTTAAGAACTATATTTCTGCTCATTGTTGCTAATCTTCAAATCTCTAAATGAGATAATCTTGGTTTAACTCTTAATATAGTGCCCAAGACTACATAATAAATGCCAAATAGATGTTAGTTTTCAGTAATTTGAGCTGTTTTTTTTTTTTACTATATGTATTTTTCTGCTAAATAAGAAATTTTAATTTACCATTTTTCCTGAGGACTTTCACTTAGATTTTTCAAAACAGAAATAAGCTACTTCTTTAGGGATTATATATAAAATATCTTAAAGAGTTGGTAGGAGGAATAAAATATACTACATTTTATAATAAATTTATATATATTTATTATTTTACATTACTTGTATCACCTAGTCACCCAGTGTCTCATTCACTCATAATGTTAATGGGAACCCATTTAAAAATAAGCTGTGCTTCAGAGTCACAAATATAGTTAATTCTTCTTTCCAAGGTATGTTTACTCTAAGCTTTCCAAGCATTCGGCAAGTATAAAATGAGACCTTTTAATGAATGAGCAATTTGAGGCATCGACTAATAAAGTCTGACTTTTTCCCTGCCAGTGGAAGATGGTGAGAATCACTAAATCATTACTGCAAATCTACACTGCTCTGCGTTTGACAGAAGTTTTGGAAATTAGTCTCAGCCACATCACGGCAGGTGTATAATGAAGTCCAGGACCGTGAAAGCCAGCCTGTGGGCTCTGACCAAGGGAATCCTCTAGTCCAGCTCCGACCAAGAGAAACACTGGGAGCCATATGTGTGACTCGACATTTTCTAGCAGCCAGTTAAAGGAGTTAAGGGGACAGGTGAGATTAATTTTAATCATACAGTTTATTGAACTGAAGATATAAAAAATATTATTTTGATCCACATCAAAATCAATGTAAAAATATTAATGAGATGGTTTACACTCTGATTTTTTTTGTTCAAGGTCTTAGAGATACTGTATTTTATGCCCCAATGTATGTCTCAGTTGGGACTAGCCACATCTCAAGTATTATATCACCACCTATGGCTCATGGCTACGATATTGGACAGTTCAGCTTTGCAGGTCCTGCAGCATGGTAGTGTGGTGTATGAGACATAGACCAGCTTGGAATCATCATACATGTCTGCTTCTGGCTCTGACATTTGATATTGAGATGACAAGTGATTTAGTGTCTCTGGGTCTCAAATTTCTACTCACTGTAACAGGGACTGTTAATAACTGCCAGGCTCCTCTTAGAATGCTGTGAGGAAGATTTAAATAATACATTGTATTTGAAAATGCTGTGTAAGATCATAAAGCACCAGACATATGTAAGGCATTATAGCTCTCTTTTATTGTAGATTTACTCTCATGACTTGCCCAAGGCCACCTTCCCAGTTGGTAGGAGAATCGAGGATAGAATCTGGGGCTTCTGACTTCTAGCCATCTGCTTCAACTAAAGGCTGTTCAAAATATGCTAGCTTAAAAACAAACAAACAAACAAAAAACATTTTTATGTAAAGAAAAATTAGGAAGGAATAGAGTGGCAACAGGAGATAAATTACATATTAAATGGTTAGGGTCTTCTTAGACACTGTCATAATGTTCTTCAGTAAAATGATACATTGAGGATATTTATATACTTAAATATCAGCACTACAACCATCAAGGATTGACTTTATTGCTGTCCTGTAATAGAACCATATGTTCTTCAGCGTTTCAAACAACTTCTAAATTGACCTGTGGTTTCCCCACTCTATTTATCTCCAAAATATAGTATAACCACAAGAAAGCCCTTCTGTACTGGGCTTGATTAATAAAACAGATATGGATCAATTTATCAGGTTTTCCATGGACATTTTTGGTTACAGATGTAACTCATTAATCCCCATGTGTGAGACACCACCTCTCTAGTGTCAGTCCAAGAGACACACTAATCTCTGAACAGAAAGTGGAAATAATTTAGTTCAATTCACCATATTATTTGGTGCTTACTGTGCGTAAGACACATCAAGTATTTTTAAGGAGCAAATGGACTTTGTTTCTATGATAATCGTCATTCAGAAATACATTCTTCAACTTGAGGAAAAATATGGAGCCTAACAAACTTTCTATGATATATGATTCAGGAATCTATATTTTTGGAAGATATAAAGATGATCAGAAAGAAAATTCCAGATTTTCCAAAAAATAATTTAAAAAGCTATCTTCTTTACTTTTGGAGGGCACATAGCAGATTAGTTATTATGATCTATTTCCCTAATTGTAAGTTTATTATAGTTTTCATATTTAAAATTTTAGGGTCATTTTCTACATTTGTTTCAATGAATTTCTTCCTGGAACTTAAAAACCACATAATATATTTATCTTTATACTATGTGAAATTAAGCATAAGCCAAGTTCATTTTTGCCAAGAAGAATGCACTCAAGAAGTTCTTTATTTCCTTTTCAGTCAAAATTCCTTCTTAAAAATGACTTTCGTCTGGTTATCTTTTTTTTTTTTACTAGAAAACTATCATAAGCTTCAGTTCTGCCTGAACTGATGACTACATTGAATAAATATAATTTTTATTTTCAGTTGTTGAATGATTGCTGTTGATCACTGAGTGAAATCATTTATTGAACAAATGTTACATTTTCTTGCTTTTACACCCTAGTTTAGAAAGAAAGTTTAATTTTTTAAAAGTTCAAAAAATGTATTTTTGATATTTCCATCATAACTTTATAACTTTCCTTTCCTCTTCCCTATAATAACCACCTTCTGTATTTTTATGATTTACTTGAACATTATTATTGCAATTTTCTACTGTGTGAACCCATCAATGCCCTTGGTGGCAAGATTTTGTTACAACAAAGCCAGAAGTAGCCGAGCTTTAGTAACAATTACCAAGTTTCTCTGGGTTGAGTTCAGAACCTTACCCTGACATTATGAATGTAACCCACATCATGCCTCCTTCTTCAGCTTCTCCAAAATATGAGATTGGCTTGAGTTCTACAACCTGTTGCTTAAGTGAGCATATATATTTTATTCAATGGTTTTACATTATAAATATTTCATTCAATTAATATCTGGGCTTGACAGAATGCAGCCAAAATAATTAGTGGTACCTGTAGTAAAAAATATGATACATTAGGAAAATGAATAATGTATTTGCATTTCTTCAGGAACTCTGAATAGATTCATTCTAGACAGGATGTGGTCATGTGGCATTAAGTATAGGGAGAGATGCTGTTTTTCTTTTTGTTCAAGTGCACCTCCAGCAAGAACACAAAAATCTGAGGAATCTTAACTCTTCATTCTTTAAATTACTAAATAAAATTAAATAGACTATAAAAAGCCATTGTACTATTAAATATTAGGAAACATTGAGTTGTGTGTCCAAAAGTCACACTTAAGACCAGGCAAGGGTAATAAGCATGAGATGGCTGTGGATACTATGAGATAATGTCTACTTGTCAGAAATGGATAGAATTTTTTTCTGTCGAAGTTCAAAAGTTAATGATTTACTTTATATTTTAATTGCTTCTACTGAGAGATCTATTAAGGAATAAAAGAGATTCTGTCATGCTGTTACTATTTTTCGCTGTTGATATATTCAATATTGCATATGAATAAAACCATATTTGTTACACCATGCTCTGTTTCATACATCCTAGATTGTCTTTAGGAAAATTTAGTACATGTCACTTCAGTCATCTGAAAGGAATCATTTCTTCATTACAACTCATAACGTAAAACTATAAAGTATCAGCCAGAAAAAAAAAAAATTGGCACAATTAAGAGAAATTTGATGATGGTAGAAAAGCACATACAGACATGACTGGGAGATGATAAGATTATTTTAATTTTCCCATTTGCGCTAGAATTATTTATTTTACAAATCTCCAGATCTTTTATTACTTAAAACCCTCTGCTGAATCATGAAAAGAAGCTTAAGTTAGCAATTTTCCTCTGCAAATCTAGCTGCTAGCATCTGGCGAACACTTGGATACCTAGTCAGGTCCTATGGAAATGATTATTTTAAGACTCTATTCAGCATGCCTAGGCTTAAAAATCAGCTCGAATCACACTCTGCACATGTATTTTACTCTCAGGGATTTTAAAACCTGGCATTAGTAGCGGCGGTTTGCAGGCTTTTGCAGTGGAGGTGAGGGTGGGAAATAGGACAAGCAGGCAGGCTGGACAGCCCAGCAGCCCCCGTGATCCCAGAAGAGCCAGTGACTTCTGCAGGGGCACCCGCAGCGCCTGTGGACCACCAGCCCCCAGGCCGCCGTGCCCTCCGCGGAGTCTCACACTTACATTTAGACTTGGCCGCCTGCGGAATCCAGGACCGCTGTCCTTGCTTGTGCCTCCCTGGCGCACGTGTGGGGCTGGTTTCCGTCCCTTCCCCAGATGCTGCTCCACTTCCAGAACAGCTTCTGAGGTAGAAAAAAAAAAGAGAATACTTTTACTCAGTTGGAAAGACAACAAGAATCTGGATTATTATCAAAGTGCACTCTTCTGGGATCATAGGAGAAATTACATTATAGCAATGTATAAATACACACTGCAATAAAAGATGCTGTTATGGGCCAGAATTTAAGTGAATATTTAGTTGATATTAGAGATATTTGTATGCTGATTAGGAGAGAGAATAATTTTGTGCATTTTTATGTATGAAAATAGGTGCTTATTTATTTTCAAACACTATCATATATATAATTTTTATCCAAATAAACATTTCTTGTGTATGTTTATTGCTTTTCATGGTTATATTATGCGCTAGGTTCCCATTAATTTAATTTCTGTTAATACAGATTGCAGATAATTTAGAAAGGATGTGGGCAATTGCTACAGTGGGAGGAAATTTATGGAAGTAATACCTCAGGGAACAATGTCAGGTTAATTTAAGAAAAGTGATCTCTGCCATCAACATAGTTCCATCTAATTTGCATACAATAGTATTTGAGTTAGAAATTATTCTCTTATTTATCAAACCAGGTCTGGTAGAACTTTAATTCAGCAGCACTTTCAGGTTTTTGTTTGAGATTTTTAATTAGAATATACTTTATAAACCATCTGTAATTTAGACTTTTTACAAGGCATATGGACACTTCTCCTCATTTAATCAGAATTTCAGAAATTTAACTCTGTGTTTCGCATATTAGTCTCTATTTTGTTTTGGTACATTTCACAGAAACTTGTTTAGGAAATATTATTTATATTTGATGTTCAAAAAATGATTTAAACAGGGAAACTTTAGACACTTAAAAAGATTTGAAAGCCAGGATTAGTTGATTAGGAAATTAATGCAGAATTGGGTTTCTAATTTAGAATTTCTGCAATGTGACATAAGTGATATATTCTAGAGCAGTACTATTCAGTAAAACTTTCTGTGATAAAGGAAATGTTCACATTTTGCAATGTTCCATATGATAGCCACTAGCCACAAATGGCTATTAAGCACTTGAAATGTGGCTGGTGCAATTGGGGAAGTGAATTTTTAGTTTTATTTAATTTTAGTTAATTCAGATTTAAATATTCACTTGTGGGTAATGGCTACTGTATCGACGAGTATAATTCTGGAGTTTACATATATTTTGTGTTCAACACAAAATGAGGAAGGACTTGAATGGTTCTAGTTGCTGAAGGAACATACATCTTATGGTCCCCAAACACAAGGCCCAGGCTCTGACACCCGAGCTTGTGCCAGAGGAGTGGACCCAGGAGCATTCTGAATTTTGGCTCAACTTGGGGATATTCTGACATAAGCATCTCAAGTGATCTCCCATAACAGAGTTCAGGCTGTAAATGGACTCAAGGGCTTGACTTTCCCAATCCATTGTTTGTGTGGTTTGACTGGCAGGCAGTGGGGACAGATATAGAAGAGATACTCCATAAATGCAGCTGCCTCCATGAAAAAGAAACTCTCCAGTTTCAAACTAGATCACAGGAACAGGCTGGTAAATACGTTTGTGCCTCTACCCAAGTCATTCTTCACTAAATATTCATTGAGCGCTACTATGCAAAAGGCACAATGCTTAGTGCTGGAGATAAAATGTTAGGAAAAAAAAAGATATGAAACCACACCCTTGTGATTAACTGCATTAGACAATAAAATTTTTCCCAGTGTTTTCTTCTTCCAAAATTCCTTTTTCTTTTCCTGAATGTGGTGAAAAGAAAATAGGAGAAAGACACACAGGATAAATAGAAACACTGAAGATGGTGATTATGTGTGTCATACATCTTATTCAATTTACTTCTTGCCACACAGCTTTCACAGTTCCATACTGAGATGGCAAAAGCAGTTTTTGAAATGCACCATTGGAAACAGAAAATAACTGAAAAGATCTCAATCTAAATTTTTAGAACATGAGATGACATCATCATTTAGCATTTATTAAGTTTTTACAATACATGTTAACATAGAGTTCTTTCCTCTCTATTAACTAGAAGAATGTCCTTTAAACTAATTGCCAATTAAATGCTGTTATGGGAGGACACTTTTTTTTTTTTTTTGCTTTACCACTCAGAACACTGTAAGAAAGAGTGCTACAATCACATTTATGAAATGAATCAATTTTTTCAAAATTTGAGCACCATTGCAACATCTGATGGGAACTACTAGCTCCACAGACCAAATGTAGCTCATTGTGTTTCAGTTCATTTTGGAAGAATGAACCAGAAAAGTGCAAAGAACTAAGCAAGAACTATTTAGCCACACTTCCCTCACTGTCTAGAGCAACTGAATAATTAAATGTATGGTTAACCTAAATTTTTAGATGAATTTTCCAATGTATCACTTATGGAAATTTAAGGATTAAAAACTATAGTAAATGAATGCAGCCAGAATACATAGTACTTAAAGCATCTAAAGGCCATATAGTCATTTCTCTGAATATAGTAACTGATAACATCCTTAATACTTTAGACATACAGTATGAAAATAATTTTTAAAAATGAATTACAAAGCAATGGAAGAAATCACAAAGAAGAAGAAAGAAATTAATATAAGTACTTAAAAACCAGTTGCTCTTTAAATACATTATAAGCAAACGAAAGGTGAAGTGGAATTTGTTTTAATCTTTAAAATATTTATTTGCTATGGAAGTTTGAAACAGTCACAGATTGTTTAACCCACCTTTCTTTTCCCTCCCAGTTAAATCTGGAAGGGTTTGTGACTGCTTTGGCCAGTAGAGCACAGTGGACCTGACACCATGTAACTTCTGAGTCTGCATCAGGAAAGAGCAATTGCTACCTGGTTTCTAGAATACTGTCTTTTGGAATTCTGAGCCGGTAAGACATCTGACTACCCTTAGGCCACCTTGCGGGAGCAGCCAGGTTTAGGTGCTCCAGGGGCAATTCTAGCAGAGCTGAGACTTCCTTCCATCCCTGCCATGGCAGTGAATGTGCGAGTGAAGCCTTGTGAGGCCCTTCAAGTCAGCCAATCTATCGGGTAAATAAGCCGAGAGAGAAAAAGCTCCCAGCTGAGACCCGTAAAATTGTGAGATACAACAAAACGCTGGTTATTTTAAAGCCACTACATTTTCATGTGGCTTGTTATGCAGCGACAGAAAACTGGAGAATACCTGCATGTATGTGTGCTGTTTTTACAGTAAAAATTTAAGAAATTGAATGTAAAAGACACCCTGTGAAGTTGTTTGAGAAATTGACAGTCAATATCCTTTGTATAGAAAGAGCTCTTAGGAATTATCAGGGGAAAGAACTGTAACATTGTGTTAAAAAATGAGCAATTAAATGAACACAAAATTCACAAAAGAAAAATAAAAAGGCTAAAAAAAATGTAAAAAATGTTCAACCTACTAAGTAAAGGAAATGTGAATTACACAATGGTTAAAATTTTGGTTATCAAACTGGCAAAAATAAAAAAAAATATTAAACATTGGTTTGGGTAAAGTGGAGTGTACATAGTACAGATTTTCTGGAAAATAAAGAAATATGTCCGAGTTTAATGCCGTGAAGTTGGTCATTCATTTAGAACCTGTTTTTGCCCAAGGACAAGGAAAAACCAGAAACCTCTGTCTCACCCTTTAAACTAGGACATGCCAATCTATACAATTACTTGCAACGTGTCTCAGCTCAAAACTGGCCTTCTGTTGAGTCTGAATTTTGCTGGTCATTTAGTCGCTAAGTTGTGTCTGACTCTTGTGACCGCATGAACTGCAGCTCACCAGGCTCCTCTGGCCATGGGATTTCCCAGAGTGGGTTGCAATTTTCTTCTCCAGGGGATCTTCCGGACCTAGGGATCCAACCCTTGGTTCTTGCACTGCAGGCAGATTCTTCACCGCGGAGCCAGCAGGGGTTCCCAAGTCTGAAGTATGGAAAACATGTAACGCAGCTCTTCTCTTTAAGTCCAAGCTTTAACCTCCAGCAAGACAGCTGCGGAAGATTTCTAATTGAGAGGCAGCAACACCTGCGGTGTGGAGGGACGCTATTGAAGTAATTCCAGGAGGCTGAGACTGAGTTTGCAGAACTGAGCTGTTTCCTGTGATACCTTCTTCCTTCAGAGTACATTCAGAGTTAAGGTCAGAAGGGTCTTCCTCCTCCGACAAACCCAGGTTCGGGTCTTGCCTCTACTTCTTTCAGTGAAAGGCCTTTGGGCTGCCCATCACGTCTGCAAAGCTGCTGGCCTGGGACAGAGAGACACTCTGCAACATCAGGGCTGGCAGAACAGAAAGTCCAAGGAGTCTCCTCGGTCTCCTGGCTGATGTCACCGAGGAGGGAGGAAGCTGTGGGGTGAAGATCCAAACCGAGGTAAGCGGGTAGAGACCTTTGAACTTGCCGGAGATAAGGAATTTGTTGTTAATAAAGCGAAGCGGCATCGGTTGCCATGATTCTAGCCATCCGGCGGCGCAGAGGTGCAGCTCCGGAAGCGGCATGGGGCTGGCCGCGCTGCTTCAAGGCCAGGAGCTCAGACTAGCTGGGCCCCGAGACAGCGCACCGTCTGACAGTCAGGCCCGGGCCTGCAGGCGTTCCTCAGGAGCTCCTGACCCGGGTAGAAGGCTTTTCTCCATCGTAGCATCCAGGCGATGTCAGGAGGGTAGGGCCCGGGGCATAGCCCTCAGACCCAGGTCAGGGATGCTGGGCCGCATCTCCAGGATGCCCGGGAACGTGGCTTCAGCCGCAGGTTGGTACCCAGGCTTCTCACTACACTTCGAACAGCCTCCTGGGGCTTGTTCTACCCGATTGAGACGGTCACATTGTCTTTCCATTTTCCACATTTCATCTGGCTCCTGCACTCGAAGGACCAGACGGCCACAGGGCAGTTCTGGGCGCTCGGGGATGCGGGAGGCTGACTCCTTCCTGTCCGCCTGTATAAGGACCACTGGCTTCTCCTCCTCAGACCCCGGCTCTGGACTTAACTGCCCTCAGGGTGCCTCCCGCCACAGCGTTGTCAGCCTCAACTGCCAAACTTCCT